GCTGCATCTTTTTACAAAGGAAACGACGATGGAGAAGAATTGGTCCTGAGAAATGCCATAAAGTCAGCTTGCCTTCACTGCTGCTTGAGGCTATTGTCAGTGTTGCTAAGTAAGCAGTGAAAATCGTTTCTTTAATAGGAAAAAGCTTAGGTACCATGGTGATAGCTTTTTATAGAGCACCTAGCAAACAGTTGCAGAAGGAAAGGGGGGGAGGAGTGTCCGCCACTAAGACAAGGGTTGAGAATTGTAGCTATTGGAGATGTTTCGCAGCTCTCTGTTTGAAAAAGGAAAATTGACTTGAAGATTTTTTGTTGTTAAGGTGTGTTAAGGCTATACACCACTAGCTGGGATCCAAAGGATGACAAAAACATGCCTGAATAATTTCAACGGTCTTAAAAGATGCTATTTGTCCTTCTTCTGCATCTTCTCCTTGCTCATGATGTCCCTCCAGAAATGTCACCAGTCTTCAAGAGTCTCACCTGGGAACGTAACTAATTCTGGCCCATAGGGAAGAGTATTATCTGAGATTGAAAAAAAAAGAGAGACATTCAGGATGACGATATGGGTGTCCGTCATTGAACATTCTTGGTAGTACAGTGGTTTAAAGCACCCTGTTATTAAGACCAGCTGCCTGCAATTACTGCAGGTTCGAATCTCGTCAGGCTCAAGGTTGACTCAGCCTTCCATCCTTTCTAAGGTAGGTAAATTAAGGACCCAGTTGTGGGGGCAATAAACTGACTTTGTATAAATATACAAAAGGATGAAGGCTATTGTTTAGCACATTGTAAGCCGCCCTGAGAGTCTGGAGAAGGGCGGCATATAAATCAAAATTAAAAAATAAATAAATAAAAAATAATTTTAAAAAAACGTTCTGTTTTCCAAAGTGGTCAACCACGTTGTGGAGTTTGGTTCAGGTAATGGGGGAAGGGGGGTCATAAATGGCTTCTTTGAAAATTTCCACTACTGAAGAAGCCTCTGGATGGAGTTTCTTCTTAATGCTTTCCTTGGAATTTCACGGAAGAAAGTAACTACAGAAGTTGCAATCAACTGGTGACTATAGTGTACATTGAAAGACACAGGGGTGGGATTCAGCCGGTTAAGACCGGTTCGAGTGAATTGGATGCTAATTTTACATCTGGTTCGCTGAAACGGTAGTTGTAAGGACTGGCTGGCTCCTCCCACCCCACCCCTCCCCTCCCAGGAGTCTCCATGAAGCCTGTTTTGATACCAGGTAAGTGCAGTGCCCGTGAGGAGGCTCTGGGAGGGCAAAAAATAGGCCTTCTGAAAGTTCTGGAAATCTGGAAACGGGGCCTAAGTCTTTACTTTTCTCTACATTTTGGAACTGGTTTGCCATTGCCTGTTTCCTAGGGCTGAGAGAGAGTGACCTACCCAAGATCACCCAGTTGGCCTCATGCCTAAGGTGAGACTAGAATTCACCATCTCCCAGTTTCTGGCCTAATGCTTTAGCTCAGGGCTGCTATTTATCAGATTATGACAGGTTCTGGAGAACCGGTAGCAGAACTTTTGAGTAGTTCAGAGAACCGGCAAATACCACCTCTGGCTGGCCCCAGACTGGGGTGGGAATGGAGATTTTGCAGTATCCTTCCCCTGGAATGGGGATTTTGCAGTATCCTTCCCCTGGAGTTGGGTGGGAATGGTGATTTTGCAATATCCTTCCCCTAGGAGTGGGGAGGGAATGGGGATTTTGTAGTATCCTTCCCCTGGAGTGGGGTGGGAATGGGATATTTTGCAGTATCCTTCCCCTGCCATGCTCAACAAGCCACGCCCACCAAGCCACACCCACAGAACTGGTAGCAAAAAAAAAAAAAAAAAGAATCCCACCACTGCTTTAGCTACTGCACCAAACTAATTCAACTTGCTATCAACTGAGCTATTGTTATTCATGCCAGTCACAGATCAGCCTTTCTACAGCCTCTTCTGCTCCACAGCTGAGTCTTCACCTCTGTCTCAATTTCTTTGCCTTCACAGAAAGGCAAAGCATGAAAGCCCAATGCAACGTTGCTGCAACTGACAATGTGCTCGCACAAATGCCATCAGCTTTCCATCAGGACGGATCATTTCCACAAGCCTACCAAGTAGAGAACAGTAATAGAAAAGCAGCCATTCAGCACACTACTTGGGAAACTGCTATGAAACGCTCTTGAGAGAGGAAATGAATTTTTTAGTCACAAAAAGAAGGAATTCAAATGGCAGGCCTCTCCCTCAATATATATATCCGGCACAATAGGCTTTTTTTTTCCCAAGTCAAGAATATGAGAAAAATAGCCAGTGCAATTATGTTCTTGTTTGCTATCACCTAACGCTGGAAGTATTTCTTTTCAATTGCTGCAGATTTCATATTGCCACTTTGGATAATAACAACTGCAAGTGGTTTGGTTTCCATCGTTTTTTGTTTTTGTTTTTTTCCAGATGGCGATACGAATTTTCTCCATTCCAGAAACCATTTCTGTCAAAAGCATGTTCAGGATTTGCCTCTTTGGAAGAGTGCACAGAACCTGCCTAAAAGGTAAAGGTTTTCCTTGCATATATGTGCTAGTCGTTCCTGACTCTAGGGGGCAGTAGTCATCTCTGTTTCAAAGCTGAAGAGCCAACGCTGTCCGAAGACGTCTCCGTGGTCATGTGGCCAGAATGACTCAATGCCAAACGCGCATGGAATGCTGTTACCTTCCCACCAAAGGTGGTCCCTATTTTTCTACTTGCATTTTTTATGGGCTTTCGAACTGCTAGTTGGAGTGGGGAGGGAATGGGGATTTTGCAGTATCCTTCCCCTGGAGTGGGGTAGGAATGGAGATTTTGCAGTATCCTTCCCCTGCCACGCCCACCAAGCTACACTCATAGAACTGGTAGTAAAAAATTTTGGATTTCACCACTGCTACAATCCTCCAGTTATCTCCTCCTTCCCCCTCCCGTTTCCACAGCTCGACCTTCTCCGCTGTGGCAGCCCTGAAATGCCAAGGGGGAAAATGACTGGGCTGTAAAGCACTGTAAAGCGGTATATAAGTCTAAGTGCTATTGCTAAGTGCTATTGCTACATTGTCAGCATCTTGCAAACTACAATTCCGTCCTCCCCCACATCCTCTTTGCAGCCTGAGGACCTTGGGAAGGTCCCTCCTGAGCCTCTTGCCTTGCCCACTATCCAGCTGTGGGCTATGCGGCCTCTTATCCAACCGTTTCCTTGACAGCATCTCTTGGATTAATCTCCCAAGGATTTTCCCACATACCATTGCACGGAAGCAGATGAAGGGATTGACAACTGGGCAGGGATTTCTCAAGACAGCTTTCTTTCCATCCTGTTTACACACAGGAGTCAAGCTGTTGAAAGAAGCTGTGTGGAAAAGCCCTCGACCATATAGGTAATGGTTAGGAATGATAGCAGCTCAAAACCAGCAACATATTCCTCTTGAAGTAGGCTAATTTAAAGGAAGGAAGTGCTGATGTTATCTATGAAATTAAAAAGAAAATATATATATTATATATAATATACAAGTTTTGGTGTATTCAGGTCTTTTCCTGTGTAAGATTGAGAGTATCTTGGCGACGTTTCGACGAGGTCCCACTCGTCATCTTCAGGCTGGTGTCTTCGGCTTCGTGCTTGTGCAAGGAAAGCGTGATCGGAGCTGCCGTCTCTATAAATACTGGTGGGGAGGTGTGGGGTGCTGGTAACAACACAGGCAACCAACCCACTCAGAGCAACAAAGCCAGCACCCCACAACTCCCCACCAGTATTTATAGAGAAACGGCAGCTCCGATCACACTTTCCTCGCACAAGCATGAAGCCGAAGACACCAGCTGAAGATGACGAGTGGGATCTCGTCGAAACATCGCCAAGATACTCTCAATGTTACATGGGAAAAGACCCGAATGCACCAAAACTTGCATACCTCTACCCGTGAAAATCTACGAATATATATATAATATACAGGTATTATATATAATATAATATATATACGGTAATATATATATAATTATATATTATAAATATATATATTATATGATATAATTATAGGACTAGATGACCTATAACAGTGATGGCTAACCTTTTCCGGACCGAGTGCCCAAAGCATTCGTGTGTGTGTGTGTGTGAATCTGTGTGCGCATGCCCAACCCCCCAAAATGCAATGCATGTATGGCCCCAACACATGCGCCCTACCCCCGCATGTCCCCTGCCCCCGCATATGCACGCATGGCCTCCCCACATGCGCACGGGCCCCCTATATGTACACGCCCCCCAAGCATATGTGCACGCCCCTCCCTTATGCATCCCACCTCTGCACATGCATGGCAGAGACCCGAAGACCAGGTGGCCAGCGGGAGGTGCACACGCATGCACGGTGGAGCTGAACGGAGGCGATAGCTCACGTGCCCACCGAGAGGGCACTGCGTTGCCACCTCTGGCACGCATGCCAGAGGTTCGCCATCACAGACCTATAAGACACATTCCAACTCTGTTAATCTGTTAATATCTGTTTTAAAAAAATCAGCCAAGAGAAGGACAAATTGACTGAACGTGCTTTCCAAGCAGCCTTCAAGAAGAGAACCTATCAGGGAAGCAACTGTTCCTGCTTTTTTTTTGTGGAACGTGTACTAAAATTAATAGTTTCTTTCAGCTTTAAGCTGCCCAAACAGTGGTACATTGGATGTATAACTTGTTAGGCTTATTCCTTATCATGATTAATGGCAAATCACTCAGTAAAACATGGGTCATCCATCAGGAGAAGAAACGTGCCCTTAAAACAGGTGGTAGGAGAATTTGGCAGACTCTGCGGTGACAAATATTTAAATTTTTTTTTGTGTAATAGAATTAGGGGTGGGAATTCCCCAAATGATTGAAGACATTAGGACCTTGGACGCGGGATTTAGCTGCTCATTGGCTTACTTCTGCTTCCTATTTCCCAAGGTTTCTAAAATTTTTTTGTCCCCCTAGAAAACCAAAACATGAAGCCGAATGCAAAGAAATATAATATGTAATTTTTGGAGAGGCGGGGGAGCAATATGAGATCTTGGTATATGCAGCTTTCAGGAGTTTTGAAAATTAAACATAAGGTCCCTTTCAGAGAACCTCTATCGTCAAGCATGCCTAGATACAAGCACTTTTTTGTGCTCTATACCTTTGTCCTTCTGAACTAAAACTCGGTGTTAAAAACACGTCATCTTCAGATCCTCACAAGTAGCATCAACAAATAATAGATCAATTGCAGAGGTCTACAAGTAGGTCCTTGGCTGATACATAGTGGATCTCCAATGCAGTGGCGGGTTTCAACATTTTTTACTACCGGTTCTGTGGGTGTGGCTTGGTGGGCATGGCATGGCTTGGTGGGCGTGGAATGGTGGGTGTGGCAGGGGAAGGATACTGTAAAATCTCCATTCCCTCCCCAATCCAGGGGAAGGTTACTGCAAAATCCCCATTTCCTCCCAATCAGCTGGGACTCAGGAAGCAGAGAATAGATGGGGGCGGGGCCAGTCAGAATTTTTACTGCCGGTTCTCCGAGCTACTCAAAATTTCCGCTACCGGTTCTCCAGAACTGGTCAGAACCTGCTGAAACCCACCTCTGCTCCAACAGTCCTTCTGTTTTTAGCTTTGTGCTAATTTCCTATCCATTAGCTTCAATGTCTGTGAAATACCAATAAACCAATTTCTTTGGAAGCATTTCTCCACTTAGTTCTGTTTTAGAAGTGTGTGTGTGTGTGTGTGTGTGTGTGTGTGTGTGTGTGTGTGTGTGATTTAGTGACCATCCAAAGTTACAACGGCACTGAAAAAAGTGACTTATGACCATTTTTTTCACTCTTACTACCTTGGTGGCATCCCAACGATCATGTGATCAAAATTCAGACGTTTGGTGATTGGTTCATACATCTGTCCGTTGTTGCATCTCAAGGTCACGTGATCACCTTTTGCAACCCTTTGACAAGCAAAATCAATGGGGAAGCCAGATTCACTAAACATGTTACTAAATAGTCAACCTGCAATGATTCATTTAATAACGGTGGCAAGAAAGGTCGTAAAAGGGGGCAAAATTCACTCAACAAGTGTGCTTGCCTAATAACCGAAATGTTGGGCTCAATTGTGGTCATAAGTCGAGGACTACCTGTACAGATCTCTGTCTGTGTGTCTGTGTGTTTATGGAGCGAGAGAGAGAGAGAGAAAGAGAGGGAGGAGGGAGGGAGGGAAGGAAGGAAGGAGAGAAGGAGGAAGGAAAGGAGGAAGGAAAGGAGGGAGGAAATAGATGGGTGGAAGGAAGGAAATAGATGGGAGGAAAGGAGGAAGGAAAAGAGGAAGGAAATAGATGGGAGGAAGGAAGGAAGGGAGGGAGGAAGGAAAGGAGGAAGAAAATAGATGGGTGGAAGGAAGGAAGGAAATAGATGGGAGGAAAGGAAGAAGGAAAGGAGGAAGGAAGGAAGGAAGGAAGGAAGGAAGGAAGGAAGGAAGGACGGAGGGAGGGAGGGAAGGAAGGAAGAATTGATAATTGACTACATATCTTGAGCAACCAGAGAATAGTCTTCTGCTGATCCAGATGTTACTTCTAATGTCAGGTAGACAACTGAAGCCATAGCCATCTCCGTCTTCAACAGATTTACATTTAGTCATTAAAATAATGGTTCCCTTATATTGCAGTAGAACATCAAAGAGGAGCTGGAAGGTCTGATGGTCCCAGGCGGATCTGATGACCTTTCAAATTCCAGCTTCATTTTAGAAATCCGTATTTCCATGGTGCTCTGATTCTGAGCTACTCTAGGAAACAGGAAAGTGGGTTTGTTGGTCTGGAACATCAGTCTGAAGAACTGTCGACTTTTCCCTCTAAGAAATATGTTTTCGGGAAGGAAGAAAAGCATTGCAGAAATAACCTTGTCATCTCCATTCTTCCTTGCAGTGCTTCTCAAACTCAGCAACGTGTTGGCTGGGGAATTCTGGGAGATGAAGTCCACACATCTTAAAATCACTGAAGCTGAAAAACGCCATAGTAAGCCGCGAGGATCGCTCACTCAAAGAAAAGAGACGGGGATACATTCATTTTCCCGCTGTCTGGAAAACAGGAAAAGTAAAAGAGGGCTTATATACAGTACATTCCCTTTCACTCCGTGATTTACTAGGCAGAAAACAAGGAACAACCAATCAAATGCCACAACAAACATTTGTCATATGTCTCCTATCTGGATCCAGTCCAACCACAATGAAAATGATCAATTAAGCTAAAACAAAAGTAAAAATCACCAGGGCTGCAAAATCGTTATACATCATGATACATTTAGCACCAGCATTAAAATAGCACTTATATGAGTATAATGTAAGGGATGCGGTGGCTCAGTGGCTAAGACGCAGTAGCATTTGCAATAATCAGCTCTGATACTCATAATATATGGTTTTATAATATAGAGAGCAGGGACGCGGTGGCTCAGTGGCTAAGACGCTGAGCTTGTCAATCGAAAGGTCAGCAGTTCCGCGGTTCGAATCCCGAGTGCCACGTAACGGGGTGAGCTCCCGTTATTTATCCCAGCTTCTGCCAACCTAGCAGTTCGAAAGCACGTAAAAAAATTGCAAGTAGAAAAATAAGGACCACCTTTGGTGGGAAGGTAAGAGCGTTCCGTGCGCCTTTGGTGTTTAGTCATGCCAGCCACATGACCACGGAGACGTCTTTGGACAGCGCTGGCTCTTCGGCTTTGAAACCGAGATGAGCACCGCCCCCTAGAGTCGGGAACGACTAGCAAATATGTCCGAGGGGAACCTTTTCCTTTTACCTATGAGTATAAAATGCTACACTGATAACTTGACTTCATGAGCCATGGTGGCGCAGTGGTTAGAATGCAGTAATGCAGGCTCCTTCTGCTGCCTGCCGGCTGCCTGCAATTAGGTATGTCTAGTTTAATGAAAAGAAGGACTAGGGGAGACATGATAGCAATGTTCCAATATCTCAGGGGCTGCCACAAAGAAGAGGGAGTCAAACTATTCTCCATAGCAAGACAAGAAGCAATGGGTGGAAACTAATCAAGGAGAGAAGCAACCTAGAATTAAGGAATTTCCCGATAGAACAATTAATCAGTGGAATAACTTGCCTCCAGAAGTTGCGATTGCTCCAACACTGGAAGTTTTTAAGAAGATTTTGGACAACCATTTGTCTGAAGTGGTGTAGGGTTTCCTGCCTAAGCAGGGGGTTTGACTAGAAGACCTCCAAGGTCCCTTCCAACTCATTCTATTCTATTCTATTCTATTCTATTCTATTCTATTCTATTCTATTCTATTCTACTCTACTCTACTCTACTCTACTCTACTCTACTCTACTCTACTCTACTCTACTCTATTCTATTCATCTATCATCCAATCCAAAGATCGGACTGCCATTTGTCAGAAATGGTGTAGGGTCTCCTGCTTGAGCGGGGGGTTGGACTAGATGACCTATAAGGTCCCTTCCAACTCTGTTAATCTGTTACATCTCATCACTTAGGACTCAGGTTTTGAAAAAAAAACATGTTCACAGCCTTTCTTACCCTCTCATTTTTATTTTATTTTAAGTCGAGGAAGCGAGAAAGCAGAGAGCGGCACAAGGGAGAAAGAAAAATGGGGGAAGAGGGGTAGTGAGATGGAAGGCGTTTTATCCAGGGCCTAAAAGCCTGCTCTTTTCAATAGCCGGTCTCTTTAATGACACTTGAGATTTTTCAGTTACGAGAAATTGCCATTAAGAAGCAACATTCTGCTCCCTGATTGGGTTGCGTTACGACGGTCTCTTGTTTACCAGCATTAGCCCACCTGCAAAATTGCTGGCGAAGGAACATAAGCTGGTAGTGAGGCACAGATGCTGCGGAGAGGTTAAATCAAAATTTACCTACAATCCAAGAGTGGACAATGAAAGTTACAAATCTAGCGGAAATGGCAAAAATCTCGGCGTATTTGAAGGATCATTCAAATGAAAGATATTTAAGAGACTGGAGAAGATGGATAGATTATATTCAAAATAAATACCGGAATAAGAAATTGCAGATAGGTTATGAATGATTATATAGATATTTAGTGTGTCTTTAAGTAATAAAGCTAGGCGGGTAATTAGGGAATTGAAGGAACAAGAGATGTGGAATGTCATAATTGTTTAGACTAGGATTGATTATGATTGTTGAAGTTTATACCCTGTAATTTGTTCTGGGAAGGGGAGGGGGGTAGGGGGGAGGTTGAGGTAGGGAAGGGAGGGGGGAAATATGTAAACTTTTTGTAAAACTTTTCAATAAAAAAAAAAATCAAAATCCTCATCGGAAAATGAAAAACTTCATCCATCTCTGGGTGAAATGGTCCGAGGATGAAGAATGGAAGGTTAGAAGTTATCCAGGATGACCTAAAGAAGCAGCATGGGATTGTGAATCGACTACGGTCCAGCTGTGTTGAATCGAAAAACCCAAGTTTAAACTTGGAGGGTGTGTTTTTAAAAGGGGGGAAATGTTCATAACCAGGAGAGGACAACGGCAAAGAAAGAGAAATACCAACCAAAGGATGAATTTTTTTTTTCTCCAAGAGAGACATTTTCTTTCCTCAAGAAAAAGGGCCTGCAAAAAAATAAAATAAAAATATTTATTTTATTTGTTTGTTTGTTTGTCTGTCAAACATGTACAAGATAACAGCTATAGGTATGAAGATAAACATAAACAAAGGAAGTAAATACAGATTAATGGGGACAGTAAGACAGGGATGGTAGCAGTGGTGAAATCCAAATTTTTTACTACCGGTTCTGTGGGTGTGGCTTGGTGGGCGTGGTGTGGCTTGGTGGGCGTGGCTTGATGGGCATGGCAGGGGAAGGATACTGCAAAATCTCCATTCCCAGCCCACTCCAGGGGAAGGATACTGCAAAATCCCTATTCCCTCCCCACTCCAGGGGAAGGATACTGCAAAATCCCTATTCCCTCCCCACTCCTGGGGGAAGGATATTGCAACTTTGCTGAGAAAAATAAAAGATCACCTTGGTTGAGGGATAAGTCTCTTAAAATGCAAGAAGAAGACTCTGCTGATGGCAGTGGTATATAAATCACCAACAAAAGGTATTTGAGGTACTGAAGAATTATCGGTCTGGAAACAGAGCTCAAGAAGGCAAGGGGACAGCTAGTATCTGTCTAGTTACAAGTAAATATAATTATACATATATCCAATTATAACATCACCAACCCTGGCTCGTCTTTCAAGGCTCAGAGAGGTCGAAGGGGTGTCCAGGATAGGAAGGATGACTTCAAAAGACGTTGAAATTAGGTTTAGTTAAAGACTTAGAAATTGGATATGGGGGAAGGAGAGAGGGAAGGGGAAGGAGTATGGGGGAAGGGAAACAGGAAGAAGGGAAGGGGAAGGAGGAAGGGAAGGAGAGAAGGAAGGGAAAGAGCCTGGAGAGAGGGAAGGGAAGGAGGGAAGGGAGAAGGAAGGAGAGAGAAGGGGAAGGAGTCTGGAGATAGGAAAGGAAAACAGAAATTTGGGAAGGGGAAGGATGAAAGAAAGAGGGGAGGGGGAAGGAGAGAAAGAAGGGGAAAGAGTCTGGAGAGAGGGGAGGAAAGGAGGGAAGGGAGAAGGAAGGAGAGAGAAGTGGAAGGAATCTGGAGAGAGGGAAGGGAAACACAAAGAAGGATGAAGGAAAAGGGGAAGGGGAGGGAAAGGAAAGTGAAGGAGAAAGAGTCTGGAGGGAAGGAGGGAAGGGAAAAGAAGGGAAAGGGCAGGGGAAGAAGAGGGAGGAGGAAGGAGTCCAGAGAAAGGGGAGGGAAGGAGGGAAGGGGGGAAGGGGAAAAGAAAGGGAAGGGGAGGGAAAGAGGAAGGAGGAAGGAGGGAGAGTGGAGAGGAGATTAATCAAAGACGTAAACTTACTTTTTGCAAACCGCTGCAGCACCATGAGTTGAAATGAGCTATCCTGTACGTGGTCCAAAAATCTAATCACTCATTATTATTGCCAATTTATTGCTCTCGCCCTTCCTTTGCTTCCTCCCCTGCATTAGCATGCAGAGACATTTCCCCGCGTCTGGCTTCCTGACACAAACATCATGGGTGGATTTGGATCCAGAAGCTACCAACAACAGAATGATTTGTTATCTTTTCTCTTCTCGCCCGACACCGTTCCTTACTTCACACTTCAGTAATGGGGTGTAAAGAATCATAACATCCATCTATATTTACTCATTGCGTAAACATACACCAGACAGGCATATTGTTCTGCATAATTTCAACGTGCAGCTTCTGGTTGACGTGAAAGCATTTAAGCGAGTTCTCAGAATTGGAAGCCTCTGCTTTTCCGTCTGTGTGTATTTGTGTATGTGTACACCGGGGTGGGTTCTACTTACCTTTACTACTGCTTTGCAACGGGGTCGTGCACGCGCATGCTCTTCTGCGCAAGCACACACTCTTCTGTGCAAGCGCAGAAGTGTTTCATGACATCACGGTCAGTGGGCGGGGCCTCCCGCCGGTTTTACGACCGGTTCTATAGAACCGGGGCGAACCGGGGGTAGCCCACTACTGGTGTATACACCAACTGTGTATTATTACAGAGCAGGGGTGGTATTTACTTACCTTCGCTTACCGGTTCACAAATGGGAGCCTGAGGGCCTTCCGTGCATGCGCAGAGTGTCAAAAACGTGGAAAAATGGGACGTGATTATGTCCAGGTGGTGGGCGGAGCCTCCTACAGCCGCCCCTATTGGTTTGCTCAGAGCTATATCTGTTCCTATTTGCTCTTGCTGATACACCCTATTACTGTGATTATGATTGGATGCACAGTCCAAGAGGACTACCAAGAGGTAGAAGATCTGACTCATCTATTATTCGATTTGATCCACATATTAAACGTATGGCCCAGTGGGAGGCCCATATTAAAACAGCATACCTCATGCGTAGCCAGAATCTGAACACGACATTTAACACAGCACAATTTCTGACTAAAATGGTCCGGCTGAGATTGGCATATGTAGGCCTGATTGGGGTAGCTTGCAGGAGGGATACAGAATTATAATTTGATGCCATTTTATTCTATTTTACGTATTTCTGAATTAAATTATTGTATTTTGTCCTGCAACTATTGCATTTTTACCCTACTCTTATTTTAAATTGATTGTTTAGAATTGTATTGGTAATATGTTTTTCAACCTGTAGGTTGATATGGCCTATAGGTTAAGATAGATAGATAGATAGATAGATAGATAGATAGATAGATAGATAGATAGATAGATAGATAGATAGATAGATAGATAGATAGATAGACAGACAGACAGACAGACAGACAGACAGACAGACAGACAGACAGGGCTAGGGATAGGGATAGGGCTAAGGATAGGGATAGGGATAGGGATACATACATACACACCAGTATGTTGGTGGGTGTGGCTTGGTGGGCATGGCAGGGGAAGGATACTGCAAAATCCCCATTCCCTCCCGATCAGCTGGGACTTGGGAGGCAGAGACTAGATGGGGGCGGGGCCAGTCAGAATTTTTACTACCGGTTCTCTGAACTACTCAAAATTTCCGCTACCGGTTCTCCAGAACTGGTCAGAACCTGCTGAAACCCACCTCTGATACACACACACACACAGACACACACAGAAACACAGACACACAGACACAACCCCCCCCCCCACATTCTTTGGTTCCTGAGGTTTGAACCCTGAACTCCCTATTAATAAATTGCCAAGCTGAACTTCCCCCAAGACATTGCGTATAGCTTGTGCTACATTATTTTCATTTGCTATTCATGTATGCAAGAAAAATATATTGCCTGGGGTGGAAGAAAAGAATTAGGAAGGTGTGAATTGGTTTGTATGCACGGATTTAAAAAAAAAAAAAACACACACACACAATAAAAAAAAAAGGTTGAGGTAAATCAAGTTATATTAAATTACCCTTCTAGGTGTCTGGAGTCATTTAGCATATGTCCTATAAAGAAGTTCATCGTATGGACTTTGCACATGTCATGTAGGAACTAATGATGAGCAATAACTCTAGTGCTCCTCGCCAGATTGAGGCTCCACCCGCAGAACCTGAACTGTGCTGTGAAACATCCATCATTTCTGTCTGTCTGTCTATTGTCTATATCATCTATATCTGTCTGTCTGTCTGTCTATCTATCTCTATTATCTATTTATCAATATATTTATTTTCTCTCTCTCTCTTTCTCTCCTACATCATGTCTGTCTGTCTGTCTGTCTGTCTATCTGTCTGTCTATGTATCTATGTATCTATCTCTATTATCTATTTATCAATATATTTATTCTCTCTCTCTTTCTCTCCTACATCATATCTCTCTCTTTCACTGTCTATCTGTCTATCTGTCTATCTATCTATCTATCTATCTATCTATCTATCTATCTATCTATCTATCTATTATCTATTTATTAATATATTTATTTTCTCTCTCTCTCTTTCTCTCCTACATCATATCTGTCTGTCTGTCTGTCTGTCTGTCTGTCTGTCTGTCTATCTATCTATCTAATCTATCTATCTCTATTATCTATTTATCAATATATTTATTCTCTCTCTCTTTCTCTCCTACATCATATCTCTCTCTTTCGCTGTTTATCTGTCTATCTGTCTGTCTGTCTGTCTGTCTATCTATCTATCTATCTATCATCTATCTATCTATCTATCTATCTATCTATCAATATATTTATTCTCTCTCTTTCTCTCCTACATCATCTCTCTCTCTTCGCTGTTTATCTATCTATCTATCTATCTATCTATCTATCTATCTATCTATCTATCTATTTATCTATCTATCTATCTATCTATCTATCGCTGTGGTGGCACAGTGGTTAGAATGCAGTACTGCAGGCTACTTCTGCTGACTGCCTGCTGACTGCCTGCTGACAACAGCTCAAGGTTGACTCAGCCTTTCATCCTTCCGAGGTGAGTAAAATGAGGACCCAGATGGTTGGGGGAAATATGCTGACTCTGTAACCCATTTAGAGAAGGCTGTAAAGTACTGTAAATCTAAGTGCTATTGCTATCTATCAATCATCTATCTATATTAGTCCCCATCTTTTTGCACCTCAAAGATTTCCCCATTTTAATTTAATGAGGAAAAATACCAGAGGAGAATTCCAAAGGTTGCTCAAAAACTAAACACATGGCAGGAGAAACATGAGGAATTGCAACTGATAAAAGTAGGGATGCAAGAGAATGTATTGGTGTCTTATGGAAAAGAGCATGACTGAATTGATTGAATCCTAAACATAAGCCCTCTAAACTATAAATTGCGTTGCAATCCCCTTTGCAATATTGTTGAAAGGATATGGGTATTGCATGGATACCTGTGCCATATGTGTGTACCGTACTATATATCCTGTGGTGATTTTATTTGTTGAGTGAAAAAAATGCCACTTAATTAGAAGTAAATTACTAAGAACTGGTCCAAGTATGTTATTCAGATACTGTCTGTAAGTTTTGACAAGTGTATTTCAAGAGGAACAAATGAACAGCAATGGTGATAGATAGATAGATAGATAGATAGATAGATAGATAGATAGATAGACAGACAGACAGATGATAGATAGATAGATAGATAGATAGATAGATAGATAGATAGATAGATAGATAGATCGATCGATCAGTGGTGGAATTCATTTTTTTTACTACCAGTTCTGTGGGTGTGGCTTGGTGGGGGTGGTGTGGCTTGGTGGGCATGGCTTGGTGGGTGTGGCAGGGGAAGGATATTGCAAAATCTCCATTCTCACCCCACTCTGGGGCCAGCCAGAAGTGATATTTCCCATTTCTCCGAACTACTCAAAATTTCCTCTACGGTTTTCCAGAACCTGTCAGAACCTGCTGAATAGCACCCCTGAGATAGATAGATAGACAGACAGATAGATAGATAGATAGATAGATAGATAGATAGATAGATAGATAGATAGATAGATAGATAGATAGATAGATGATAGGCAGACAGACAGACAGACAGACAAACACATAGATAGATAGCTACATAGATAGCTAGATGATAGCTAGAAGATAGATAGATAGATAGGATAGATAGATAGATAGATAGATAGATAGATAGATAGATAGATAGATGGATGGATGGATGGATGGATGGATGGATGGATGGATGGATGGATGGATAGATGGATGGATGGATGATAAATGGATACAGTAGATAGATATACAGATAGGTATACTGCTCTATGATCCTACTAAAGATTGATTTGATTTGATTTGATTTGATTTGATTTGATTTGATTTACTTTCTGGTCTCTTCACTAGACTATTTGGCATCTGTCATTATTACAATTGGACTCTATTCATTATTTTACAACAGTCTTTTTTTTTTTTTTTACCTCTACTTCCTTCTATAATCCTTCAACATTTTTTCCCCCCTTACAAGGTGAACGCTTCTCTGTTGGACAACAATTGCCACCCAGAATTTATGTCAAGCTCTTGTAACTTCATCCCCCTTCGAAGGAGCATAATGCAGCCTAACACATGCTGGGGGTGGGGTGGGGGCTTTACTATTTCCTTTACTATTATTGTACTGGTTTGCCAGTACAATAATAGTAAAGGAAGAAGGTCTTTAAAGCAAGGTAGCGACTGAGTGTATTTTCGAATCTAGACAAAGAGGCAAGTTAGCATCCCTTGTCACTGCCATCCAGTCAGACCCTGGAGTGTTTCTAATAACAACTCTGGGAAAAGGAGGAGCGAAAGCATCTTCAACTATCTGGCTGCAGTTTCGCTAATG